GAAATTGCATGCTAACGACAATTCAATTGACTTAATGAGGATGATGAAATAAGCTGTTTTCTTCAAGAGCAAACTTTGACATGAATGATACCTAGTACTAAATTAATAAGCATTGCTAATTTATTATAAGGTCGTTCTGTATCTCATATTGATGATTATAACTGATTTACTATTCCTTGTTGTTATTTTGATAAAAGATTCTTTATTATAATTGAAAGGTTTTTCGATTTCTTTCAGTTATATGTCATTTATTAGTTTAATTTGATAGAAAATAGAAAATCATTGATGGCATATATCATAGTGGTGAAGCATACGGTTGGTTGGCTTTTACATGAATTCGCTGAATGTCCTTAGTTGATAAAATAAATGAAAAAAGTTTTATTAAAGAATTTTTATAAGATGAGATTAGAATGGAAAATATGTTGTTTCAGACTTCAATTGGCTTAAAGTTCAAATTGTGGAAGATAGCAATTGAAGCTTTAAAACTAAGTTTAATCAGCACGTTATTTTATTTATCAAGAAATTGATGATATATCAAAATTTTGCAAATTTATTCATCAAAGTTTAAAACTATTTAAAAAACAAAGACCGTAGTAATTGGCTAATTTAACAAGTATTTCGGTTCAAACTGTAATACATCAAACATTCTCTATTCTACTACTCGAAATGGATGCCAAATCAACATTGAATTTTTTATATTGTGTTACCATTTTAATAAATGTTAAATGTACTATTTCTTATTTTTTTAGCTACTGATAATAAACATGATATGATTCGCGTTGCAAATGATGCAGAAAAGGATAAATGTCAATTGGCTATAGTACTTGTAAACAGCGATAAATCGTTGGATGTAAGTTTAACTGATGGTAGTTACACCGTAAGCCATGCACAAAGGCATGTAATATCAAAACATAATATGCTCTACAGAGTTTTAAATTGATATTTTTTTTCTGGTAATTTACAAATTGAACGGAAAGAAGAAAGAGAAATATGCGATGTTCTATAGATGCAACATTAATCTGTTAAAATTAGGATTACATAAAACAAGAAAAAACAAAAGATAGAAAGAGAAACAAATAGAAGAAAAATAATTGTTTATAATAAAAATATAGGAAGATCATACACCTTTATTGATATGATTTTATACTTATTAAGCACAAAAGAGAATTTAGTTTGTTATTAATTTAATCGTTAATCATAGCAACAAGAAATAAATGTTGATTGCTTGAATTACAAGTTTAATCTTTATTTGAAGTGAACTTTTTTAAAATGCTTTATTTTTAATTTCATTTCAAAGATGTTTTAAAAATCCTGTGTTTTTCAATAACGAGATCTATACTGAGTTTAAAAATCAAAATAAAATATTTATTAAAGTTCATGATGTTCACTAAAAATACTTTTGAATCAAAGTAATGTTTTTTTTTATTTCTGTACTACTAAGTTCTTTTTTTAAACTTTTAATATCAATAGAAAGAAGTATTTTGTTGATATACGAACAAATACAGGAAAAGTGTATATGAATCAATGATAAATCAAATAGAGCTCAAACACTGTTGTGACTGTTCACACAAGAAGTTATATCTTAAATAAAGATAATTGATTTCAGTTCGATTTTATAAGTAATTTTTTTTAGAATATGGCCTAGTTTCTTTGATGCAAGCAAAGTATTATTGGTTTAATATATTTTTGAATGCCATTACTTTCTATAATGTCAAACATACGATTCTCTAGATTTCATTGGTTTTTGAAACGCAATATGATACGTTTTTCCTTTAAATAGAAAAAAAAACTTTCATCTCTTTAATTTTGCAACATAGTTGAAAGTCTTTAATTATCTCTGATGAAAGCTAAGAGTAAGTTCTTTTGATAACTTCTAGTTAGACATGTTTGCAACAATTAGACGATAACAACGTACATGTATTTCTTTGTAGTATGTAAGAATAGATTCAAAATTAATTGCAACTATCATATTCGTTCATTCTTTTATAATTATAAATTGCTTGTATTTACCATATATATTTTAATAAAATTTATTAAACGATAAGAGAATTATTTCATTTTATGTAATATGACATAAACAATGACTAGTAAACTAGTACTGACTGAGATTATCTATCATTCACGGTATTTTTTATTTTTTGTTCAAAACTAAATATACTGTATATGATGGATGATAACTAACTACTATTTATAGATTTTATTTCAACATGCATCTATGAATTTGGCTATTGAAAAGACTTATATCTCTTATAAGTGTCAGAAAGATAATGGACTAGTGTGGGAAAACGGCTCTATATTCTGGAGGTAAATTTAAGTAATTATTTTGTACATATCTATAATCAATATTGCGAAAACATTCAGTAATTACATATAAAAAAATCTAAAAATAAAGATTATAAAGCTGTGATGACACACGAACTTATTAAGCTATGCGAGTGCAAAATCGACACATGATTATTTCCTTTTCATTCATTTATTTAGCAAAACAATCAGAAAGTTAGAGAGATTATTGATAATATAAATAATATTGTTAGTATTAATATATACAGTAGAATTACCATATGTTCCAATAATAATGCATAGTTATTTAAAGCAAAAAATATCTTTACAATAGAAATTTGACTTCATCACTTCCGATGACATTATATAATATTATATTATAATTTCTATCAGATGTTTTCATGCCGTCAATATGCATGTATTGTGACCATCAATATGATTCTATCTAATCGAAAAACTCAGAACAGTTTGGTTTTATTTGTCATATGTTATATTCTATGTTATATAAGATTGAAGATGTAATTGTTTTTAATATATCGAATCATCTCACTATTCAAAATGATTTTATTCATTAACTAATCTTAGAACTTCGCAATGAATATATTCCATTACCATTTATTCTATTTATAACAGTATTTCTTATCTATAAAAAACAAAATGATATTATGATCATGCATCGAATTTTCAATTAAAAGTTATTATTATTTAGTTCAATAATAGACGAATAATGAAATTAAAGAACTTTTGTTTTCTTTTCGCTAGAGTATGAATGACAAACAATACATTCAATCGATTTCCTTTGTTTTCAACATTTTCTATATTTCGGCTTTCACAAGCGAAACGCGATGATGGTCTCGTAACATGATGACGACGATTTCTGTTAATAAGTTTTTTTCTCTGCTATGTTTTCCTATATGTGTAATTATTTAAAGACGAGATACTATTTTTATCCCCATGACTAAACTATACAGATGTTAAATATGTTTTCCTATGCTTTATACCATACTCTACAAGATGCACATAAGAAATTTAAAAAATGATGACTTCAAACTCCCGGTCCTTGAGGTTATACGTTACGCGTTTTGGCCAATTTAACATTGATCTAATGGAGTCAAATGAAAGTATAAAATTACATTCAACACTAATTATTTCATTGTGTTTATCGATCCATATTTAAAATTCTTCATATTTAACTACGACTAAGAAGCATGTGCAATAAAATTCGGAATAAAAATGAAGCAATTAAGAACGATATTTTGTCAATATTTTTTCTAAATATTTGACGGTTTTCTTTCATGATAAAAACAAAACAATATGTATTAACAAATTTTTCGTAAGAAAAAATTTTATAATTAACCATTACATTTTATTTTCGATTGTAATATTATTTTGTTTGACCGGATTAAACTAGAAAATATAATCAGAGAACATGTAGATATATTCATCCAATGATTTTTCAGTCGCGTAAATAGATTCCAAACTGAACTCATTTAAGAGACAGGAAGATCGTCATAGTAGTTTATCAGGAAATTTATCATTCAGCATGAGGGAATATCAATCTGGTGAGAAAGAAAACTAAGAAGATAATGTCATTTCACTATTTTCTCAGCCAATCTTGTGAATCATACTGCTATGTTTAAGCTGACAACCTTGTACACATAAAAAATGATCACATGATGGATAGAAAAAATACCAAGAAGAGAAGAAAGAGAATAACACGAAGATTTCTCATAACTTACAATAGTCGCGTGCAAGATGATCTAGAATAAGCAGTAGAAAGGACGAGGCAAAATATGCGAGAACGAGGAAAAAACTGGCATTTTTCTACATAATTGAGTTTTCATGCGAACGAGAACTATTCTGATTTGTTGAATAGCAAAACTTGAACAAGAAAATTTATCTCTTGTCTCATTGATTTATTTATAGATAATCTATTTTACTTTGTTTTTAAGAGAAAAATCATGTTTTTTTTCTGAAAAATTGAAATTGTCTTCATTTATTATAAACATTTATTTTATATTTTATATGATTTTGCCGGATGTGATGTGAAACTTTGAAAAGAATTGTTATAGTAATATAGATGGTGACATATATTATTTATAAGGAATAGAGAAAAATAATACGACAAAGAGCAACTTACATCAGGTAAGTACAACAATCGTATGCATGCGTGCAAAGAAAAGCAAAGGGAAGGAAACTTGGTGCAGACGATATTAAAAACAGAATTACAGGCTTTCGCTTTTTTTCCTCGTGTTCTTGTTCTTGTTCTTCTTTTTCTTTTTCCCCTTGCAGAACTGTTATTTGAACAAGTACAAAGAAAACTCAATTCTGACTGCTTGCTGTATCGTAGAACATAAAAGAGAAAGGGAGAGGAAATTCCGAGCGACGAGCTTTTTTCACAAGAAAACGAGAAAAAGAAAAAGAAAAAAGAGACGACTGCAATCGAAGAATGGCATCGTTCATTTATTCATTTGTTTAGTTTATCACCTTACTGTTACATTACAAAACATTTCATATATATATCTTCATTCTAAGTAAACGAACTAAACATCCTTTTATTTCTGCATGAATTCAATATGAAAATTATTTCTTTTACTCCAAAGTATATAATACTATGAAGTTGAAAGAAAAAAAGAAGTAATAAATAAACCCTTTGTTTTTATTCTCTTCGTTGACTATTAAGATGAACATCAATCCACACTACCAACAACAATATATTAATGGACGTTATTATAACTGCACTTGGTGAATTTATTTGGGCGTCATCGTATGTATTATAATTTAGCATTATATATATTTGGTTTTTAAACTTATTTTATTTATTTTAGGTGTGCTGTGGTAAATTTTTGTCTTAGTTCAGGTCTTAGTGTTCTTGCTGTCTTTGCCTCATTTCTTTGTGCTATTCTTGCATCAGCCTTTTATAAATATTCGACAAGTCATCAACATATGTCGCTTGATGATGCTTCATGTGACCATAACAATTATGATTACAATGATCAAGACAAGCCTACTGCAGTAACATCAACAACAGAACAGTCAATAGAACCATCATTACCATTAATAACAATTGAAGAATCAGATGATACTAATAATAATCGATCATTATCAGAAATCGACATATATGTAGAAGGTAATACAAACGTAAATATAGTAGATAATGAACAAACACCCTATAATATATTAATTGACACTATTGAAGGTTCAGAAGAAGAAATTCAAAAACAACAAATAGCTAATATTTATCGTCTTTTAAATGATCAAAATTTAATTAATAATTGGACAACAACTGATTTTCTTGATCAACTTAAAATGTATGGACTTCAGACATATGATGAAGAAGATGAACTAGAATCACCTTAAATATATATATATATATATATATATGTATTAAATTCTTTTTTTTTTGTTTTGATGAACTGCTGTACATTTATGCCATTATTTAGACAATGCTTTACGTCATTTTAATGTAATTTGTAATGGTCATATTTAGAAACAAATTTATTATGTTCATTAAATTATCTAAACAGATAATTTTACTTGTATAAAATTATATAGGAGTTTATTTTCAACATTTTGTCAACAAATAAAATATTCAAAGAATTTATTTAATGGGTTTGTTTTTCTTCTAGAGAAAAACAAAACTTTCATAATTTATGTGTTCAAAGTCTAGGATAATTTGCACAATTCTTTCATTTTAAACGTGACATTGATGATTTAAAAAAATAAGAAACATTGAGACTAATATGAAGTACATCGTTGTACTTAAGAAAAAGTGTTTCATTACAGATCAAAAATTTACGGCGTCTAAAATTAGTACTTGTGTCAAACATATGTTTTCTTTTTTCAAAAGAATTTAAAATGATACTCTAAAAGAATATAAATTTTCCTATTGAATTCATCACACGCGAAAAGCATTTTTGTTATTTTTAGAAAAATAATTCTGTGAAATTGTCTTTAATGATAAATGAATGTACACATAGAGCTTTGTTTTCTATAAAATGAAATCGCAAGACCAAGGACTTTTTATGATTTCGGATCGGACAAATGTACATTAGAGTTACAATTGCTTCATCTATACATCAATAGCGATAGAGAAATAAAAATCGGCCCATAGATGTTGCTTACTCAATTTACATTTCACAAAAAAGAAAATTGTCAAGAGAAAAGAAAAGAAAAGAAAAGATGTTCATATGACCTTTAAGTTAAAGATTTAAAGTTAATACCTTTATTTGAACATTATTCTTCTATCAAAATATCAATGTATTTTTTTAACTTTTACTAGTTAACGTTGACATGAACTCTTGTTAGAGTCAACTTTTTTTAAGGTTTCTAAAATATGAATAAAAACAGAAGAGAAGCATTATACGTCGCTATATATTTTGCAGTAAGAAATCATTCTAACGCATCATTTTCAAAGTAATCATCTAATTACAGATAAAATCATGCCTAGAAACAAAATTTTTATAGTTTTCATTATCGGATAAAACGGCGTTCGGGTTGAATGTTCTAGATTCGGCACCGATATTTGTATATATTTATGTCGTTCATCTAATCATATAGAAATTATTATAAATTTGTAGATCTCGACACCTTATTAATTCCATTTAGATATCAATCAACTTAAATCAATCTCTGAAAAACAAGAGTATACTTTTTATCAAATAAAAAGTTATCTCTGCCATTGAAAATGTCTATTGCAATTCGATAGAAAGTTTTCCTATTGAGAGAGAGAGAGAGAAAGAGACAAAATTCATTAAAAAAAAAGAAATTCATCCAGAAATGTAGTTTATAAATGAATTTTAATTTAGAAGATAATGTATACAAAGAAGAAATATATGAATTATATTGAATGGTAGCATACTACCATCGAAAAAATGACTGCATATCGTACTTTTGGTGTAATTTTTGATAGAAAGAAGGTAGAGAGCTGCGGTTTTCTCTGTTGGAAAGAAGAGATAACGATGCATAGAATCGTATGTTACAGGTTTTTGACCTGATTTTTCTAAGGTTTTCAATTAAGCTTTTTGAAAAACAACGTACTCGATAGATGACTACAGTAAATTTTCAATCAACTGGTGTGTATTGAATCGCCAATTGAGAATCTATAAAACTGCGTAAAGCTCAAAATTTTAGCTTGAATTTTTCATGAATTATAGATATTCTACTTGAAACTCTAAGCCGATTTTTGTAGCAGTTCCGGTGAAAAAAAATTACTTTTTTGCTTTTCCTTCTTGGTAAGAACCACTTTTCCGCTACTTTGTTTTTAGAAAATTTGATTTAAAAAGCCTCAGATAATACATTAGAAAAATCTGTATGATGTAATTCGATGCATCTTCATCTTCTTTTTTCCAGCGGTGAAAATCGCAGCTCTCTATCTTGTACCTATCAAAAGTTACACCAAAATACGAAATGCAGTCATTTTGTCGTTGGTAGATAGCTAGTATTATATTGGTTGTTGCTGTTGGAGTACCAATAGCAATGAAAACGAGCCAGAATCGTGAATCAATCACTAGTACATTGCTGATTGGAGCAAGTTGGAAAGAAAATCAATGTTATATGAATATAATTTATAGTCTTTACATATTTAGCTATTTCGGTGAATACAACGTCTAGTATACCTGACTTGTTAGGTTTAAGATTCTATACTAAAATTTTTACATTTTTTCGGTGTTCAAATATCTATAATGTCAAATTTTACAATGCCATCAACAACAAGTAAAAAGTAACATTGATTGATTTTATTTCTTTAAAATAATTATTTATTCTTATGATAGAGGCGGTATCTGCATCTAGTAAAGATAATGAATCAGTTATATTCTCAATAAAAACTTAATGCTTTCTTTTTCTTTCTCAGAATCATATTTTACTGTTTCATTATGTTCAATAACTTCAACTCGTACGATAGTGTACATGTCCAATAAGTTTAAGAAAAGTTAAATATTCTCCCTATTATTGTTTATGTTATATATAACAGTGCCAACTATGAATTCTTGCAGTTCTATTAGTAGGTTTATTTCTGTCTTTTTTATGCATACAAATTCAAAATGTGGACTGTTCTTTTCAGCAACAAGTTAAAATAACAAATGTAACAACATGTAAGAGCTGTTTTTTATCTTTGATCTTGCTTCACTTTTGCTTCGTTCTTTTTTGTATCGTGTAATTTCCAGCTACAACTTGAAGAATTACAAGTACCTCTAGTAAGCTTTATTATTACAAAAAATACTACTTTTTAAAATTCAATGTATTATATCAACCTTAACGGCGATGTATATAATAAAATTCATTCGAAATGGTGGAACTAGTCTTGATTCTTACATTGATGGCAATACATTTCGAGTTATTTAATCAGAAGAATATTATTGAACTGTATGAATCCGAATAAATTCAATAGTTAATTTTATGATGTATTATAATCAATTGACATTATTTTATTCATTAATATTCTTCGATAAATCGTTCTCCACTCATTTAGTCGAATAAATATTTTATTATACATTAAGATAAATTATTATTATTGTATTATTTGTTTTTGATGCACTAAAATACCACAACAATAGAAAACATAGAGACGTACATAAGAAAAAAAGACTAATAATCTATATAAATTCTCGATAACTATCAGATCTGATGTATTGTAAAAAAGCTGGAAGGAAAAATATCGAAAATTTCAACTACCAACATATTCTTTATTTTTGGTATAAGAGGTGTGAGAGAGTGGATGGATTCTAGTCTTTCTTTTACCTACACTCACACCTACACACACTCTGGGAACATCAGTTGTTTCAATATTTTTCCGAAAAGATTTCGCTATGATTTCAAATAGAGTAAACTGTAAGCTTTATGTCAAACGAAAGCTCATGGAAAGTGGGATTTATCAGTATTAAATAATAAAGGTTATGAAAGCCTTCTAATGTCGAAAGCAGGAATTGTCTATATACGCCCTACCAGCATGGAAAAATTTTTATCATGAGTCATGGCAAACTAGATCTGATTTAAAACTATCAATATCACTAAGTAGCATTTATTTTTTAAGGTTTGACGAATATGAGTAATAATCAGTGTGATGACGACCATGAGCGTTGTTTATAACACACATACAAGATTGATACGAATGCAAAAAAATTGTAAATAAATCAAGATTAGTTTCTATGTTTGCCAAAACATCTAAAATATGTCTTTTCAGAGTTCTGTCATACTAATGATTCCGTTCTGTACCTGATAACATTTTTTAATCTCATTTTTGATTATTGTTCTAATTTTTTCAGGCTAAGTGTCTTTTATATTGTAATATTCATCATTTTGAATCCGATCTAATTTGAATTACCTCATTATAGTAATTTTTCTATGCTGATAGGACGTAAAATGTTAGGAATTTACTGAACTTAACATTGAAAAACCTTCATAACTCTTACTATTTAACACTGATAAATTCTATTTTTAACAAATCTTCATTTGATATATCATTTAATGTTTACTCTATTTAAAATCATAGCGATATCTTGCTGAAGAAAATATTATTTCCTAGTTAGTAAATTTATTCATTCAAAATTTGTTCTTTTGGCTTTACTACGGACAATCTTTTATCTTCTTCAACTATACTTGCCTTGTTCATGTTCAAACGCCTGAAATTATTTTTCGGATCATATTTATTTCTTGCCAAATATTTTATTCAATTCATTCCATCAATATATATCGTTGTCGTTATTATTCTTCCAATAAAATTTTGTAGAAAAAACCGACTTTACTAAAAAAAAGTTCTTTGAAAAACAAAGCAATAAGTATTTGTACAATCAATTCCATGAAATTTTATTATTTTTGAACACCTTTTGATACAATAAAGCATTCTATACTATAAGAAGACGACACAATTTATAACGAGAAAAAAAAACATATTTCTGAAAAGTCAGATATTCAGATGGCAATTTGTAATTACTTAAATCTTAGTTGAAGTTCACATTGTAGCAGACTGTTAAAACTACTTTTTTTTCTTGAATAAAATATTAAATAGTAAATATTTCATTTTCATTTCATTACGATTCATTGTAAAGACATCTTAAATTTTATAAATCAAGTGGCCAGAATATTACTATACGAGAATGAACAATGAAATGAATTACAAGAAGAAAAAAAAACGTGCAAAACTTAGAGTAAATCTGACCCTCACATGTATATGTAAACGTGCGAACACTTCACTATCTATCGTTCTGTCTTCTTACATACAATAGAACTATGTAAAGCAGTAAAAGAAGAATTGTGACAAAAAAAAACAAAACAGGAATATAACAAGAAAGAAAAGGACAATAGATAATCATACATAAACAAAAAAGATATAATAAAATTTAAAAAAACAGAAATGAACAAAAAACATGTGAGGCAGATGATGAAATTCCTGATGGAAAGAAAAAGAGAACACTACATACTACAAATAATATTATAATATTTCATTTGTATTTTTTTTATAAAGAAAGTAAGAACATACAGGCACATAGACACATTGTATACAGAAGAAATAAAAAAACAAAAAGAAAACGAGGCAAGTATTTAGAACTCTGCATATATGTTAATAATTCTTTAATATTTAAATCAAAGACCCGTTTTTGATACTCGCCGATCTAAATCATAATATAAATATATAAGAACTATACAAAGATAAACCAATAAGACATACCTGCAAATCCAACCAACTTAGTATGTGTGGCTGGTAATTCTGAAGATTGTGTTTCTGAAGTTGTATCATTAATAATGGGTTCAATATGAACAATAGTTGGTAATGTTCGTGATGTTATTGGATAGTGTCGTTCACGATACCATTGAACAGATTTTTTATCAAGTACAAGTAATTCAAGATCATCACGCCCCATATGATGTTTTATTTTATCTAAGATAGTTTCATATGTTAATCCATCAATAGTTGAACCATTTATTTCAATGACACGATCACCATCACGTAAACCACAAACAGCTGCTGGCGAATGTTTTGTTACATCGGAAATGAATACTCGACTAAATTAAATCAAAGAATATTATTAAAAAAATTATTATGATATGAATATAATTTACCCGTGTTTTTTTGGATCACCACATAAGAAAAAGCCATAAAATGGTGATGTTGCAAATTTTCGAATACGACAAAGACGTGCAACCGGTGCATCTTGTGTTAAGATATCTGATAATTTATTTATTGAACCTTCTATATATATAGTAAAACGAAAATTATCATAACAACAGTTCAGAGAAACAAAAAGCTTGTTAGCGCAGTTTCTGTGGGGTTAAAATGTAGAATTCACATTGTTCTTTAGTCTCATTATACTAATATAAAATACATAAAATGAAAAATCATTATCAGACGACAATTATTTTCCAAAATAATTGATCATCAGAGTTTGTTTCTGCATTTTGTTTTCTTGATTGGTTCTCTATTTTTGTTTGCTTTGTTAGCGTTCACTCGTTGTTTTTCATTTTCGTACTTCATTTTTCTTAATTTAATGTTATTATTATTATTCTAACTATTGATTTAACTAGTTAATGAGCCTATAGTTCACATTTAACGGGTGGCCCAGATTAAATGGACCTCTCAGTATTTTGACTATAACTTTTTTTTTCTTTTTGGTCTTTAGAGCTAATTGTTTTTCCAAAAGATGCACCGTCAAATTCTCTGTAAAATCATAATCAAACTTATTTGTGTAGAAAGTTAAGGAAAAAAATTAAACGAAGATTATCCGACACATTAAAAGTACCCAACTTTCAAAGCTGACGGATGTCTCNGTTCACTGCTTTTATGTTGACCCACATTAGTTCCACCAAAAGAAATACCATATTCTCTGGTAAGCAGTCACTCAAAATTCTAAAGACATCTGATTTAAACGGATTTGTTCTATTTAAAAAATGATTAAAACATTACTATTTTAATCATATTACTCAATTTTAACCGTTTTTAATCACGATACGGATGAAAAACTGTTTTCTGAAAATTAACCTTGAAAATTTCGATTTTATTCTGGATTCCTTACCACGACCGACAAATGGTAAGTGTAACACTAGGTCAATCTTTGGCACATGTCATGTTGCAAGATACGATACTACTCCGTACTCGACATGTAAAATATAATCCCAATATATTAAACTGTAGTCCCATCGTCGCAGAACAAATAGTGATCGGCTTCCATTATGGAAGCTCACATCGCTGTTCCAAAAGTGACACTCTATCTTTAGCTAGACTTTTGCTAATATTTACCTATAACATCAATGATTTTTTTTTTAAATCTTCTGAGATTCAATTACTCATTTAAAAACGGCTCAAAATCAGTTTAAAATGGATTATTTTCTAATTAAAAATTGATTGAAATGACACTATTTTAATCTGATGTTAATAATATTTTTTAGCCTTAAAGCCAGATTTCATTTAATTTTAATTTTTCTAAATCTATTTTAATGGGTTAACAAACTTTAATCAATTTAAATCGATTTCTAATCATCAGTTCTAATTGATTTACTCTAAATAATCGATCAAAATAGATTAAAAAAGATTAAAATCAGATTAAAGTATAGTGATATTTGAATCGGTTTTTTAATCCAAAAAGAATAATCGAGTTTAATCTGAGTTTTAGGCTTTTTTCATTAGTAGACTTTTTTAAGCGACTAAGTGTTGTAGAATACCAAGTATTTTACTAGAAAAATTGGTTCAATAGGAGTAAAATAATTTAGATCATAAGACAATCGTCTTTTACTCAAAAACCAGGTTTTTGTATACAAATTCTAAAAATATCCACAAAATTACCGAAAAAGCTTTATGAAATCCATTACCTTCTATTATACCGTTGAAATTTTCCTGTGAGCAACCCTGCAATATAAGATGATCCTTTATTCGTCGTAGGTATTAAACTTAAGTCGACTATTTTGCAATAGAGTCAAGTAAAGTCTGATTTCAGAATGAAAAGCAACTTTTCATTGAATTTCCGTAGTTAAACTTATTTTTTCATGCACACAAACTTCTTGAGCGTTTTGATCGAGAAAATCTTTTCATTTGAAAATTTCTTAAGGTATGGACTAGAAAATAAATTTGACTCAAATACTAATCAATGTTAGTTTAGTACTAAAGTTTAATTGGTTGAAAATTATTTTTTAAATCAATTTCATTCGATCAAAACGAATTGAATATTAGATAATCTGATCAAAATAGAATTGAAATGTTTCGAAATGAAATGATTTTTAATCAGAAAAATTCGAATAGAATCAGGTTCTTTTTTGATTTTTTAATAAGCACAAGGCAAACTTCTTTGCCCTGTCCTGTCCTCATGGCAGGGCATTAATGGGAGTCCTGCTTTGTGATGGTCACTGATACCAACACATCTGAACTAGATTAATGAAGAGAGAACGATATGGAATAGATCATGAACATAGGACAAACAGAAAACGAATATATGTGTCATCTATTAGATGGCGTAAAGAAAAAAAGAACGAAAAAGCGTAAAACCACAAAAAAAGAAAATAGGAATACGAGAGATCGTCTCTTGTGTCCTAACAATAAACGAAATAAAAGCTCGTAATAGAAATGACGTGTGAAATAGAACGAAAATCAAAAGAAAGAACGTAAACAAGTTATAATGACGTCAGTAAACGGTATGCTAGCAATTTATCTCTCCGAGTACATGTCATTTCTTTCGTATTAGTCGCGCTTATAACCCACGTCGAATCAGTGATATACAGATTTGAGGATTCATTTTAAACAAACTTGATACCATGAATCATGCTATTCATTATGATGCTAATCAAGATGATAATCAATACCGATCATTTCATCCTCACCCAAATCAAGGTTTACGGAGTCCGTATACGTCCCTGTTACGATCGTATGTTGGCGTATTACATGGTCCAGTATTACGATCGTATTTCTCCGTCACCGTATACGCAGAAATACGATCGTATACGAGGAAATACGGAGTGAAACGAAAATCGTATACGGACTTCGTAAACGACCGTTTTCTTCTCCGTTTATAGGCGTATTTCTTTGTATACGGCCGTTTACGACCGTGCTTGTTCGACCTGGGAAACATCTAATCGATCTTATTTTGAATAATAAAATTTAAAATAAATTTGATGAGTTGATTAATAAAAATTGTTTGTTTAGATTTATCTGATTGTTATGTAATATTGATGATAATTGATACTCTTCGTTTTAATTATGTTTTCAACAAAAATGATTCATTTTATTGGAAAAACAAGAGAAAAGCATAATCAATTCGATTACGTATACATACTCCAACTGTGACATTACTAAGATTAAAAGTAATTCGAGGGAAAAAAAGATTTTCTTTTTATTCTTTGTCAAATGAATGAATGAATAAATCGGCATTATTAGCAGGTACAATTTCATCATTTCAGGATGTTCTATGTAATTATAATTCAAGTTAATTAGAAATCGATGACTCTTTTTTTATTTCGAATTAATTTTTTATATTAAAATAAAACATAGTAATTTTCATTTGTCATTATTTGAAAAATAGGTTAGAACGATTGACACTCTTACCGATCTAATGCATCAACCACTCTTGTAGGTCACTAGTATAGACATTAAAGGAAACTACTCTTGTTATCTTATTTCCATCTATGAAATCGATGCGAATTCGTTGTCATCATCAATTCATTTAACGTGTTTTGAAGATTTATATCAGTTTCGTCGAATATTTCACTACTTTTCCTTATCTTATCTACAACACACCTTAATTTAATTCGCAATTTACTTCCAAAAATCGAGTAAAAAGTGTTTAGAAAAGTGCAGCAATGTTAAACAACATAATAAGCTCCAAAGAACAGAATCTAAAGCATTTTAAATTCTATTTCTTCTTGTGAAATTTTTTTTATCAACAAAATCAATTCTTCAATACTGTTTCTATATATAACTGTTACTTGTTTTTCTTCAAAAAAACACCAAGACACCAGAAATGTTTCTATTGAGAAAAATGCAATTTATCATGATAGATGTGATCAATTTTTTTCGTAAGTTTTCTTTTATAGTTTTTTATTAAAAGTGAACTAATACCTAACAAAGACTCAGTCTGAACCATAAATAGAGATCAATAGTTCGATTAAACCTATAATACACTCTCAATTCTTTACAATACCATATATGAAAGTTTATTTTGAAAGTTCCTGATGACAGTAAAACTGTCAACTATTTCGATATATGAAACGTATCCTTCCGTTTACGAACATAAAATCGAAAATTCAAAGACAAAAGTGTACACTGACAAATGATGTCTTTGAGCAAATTAATACTATTATCGGAATTTTAAAAGAAGAGAATCTTCCTAAGTATGTATAGAATTTAGTGTCCTATAACCTGAGCTTGTTGAAGAAATATTATTAAGATTAAAAGGTACACATATATTCAGATGCTTAGTTGTCGACATTATCCTTACATAAATTCTAATATGATTATAAAGATTATGACGTCAAGATATTCTTGTATTTCTTTTCTTCTTCAATCATTTTCACCACAACCCACTTGTCTTTAAATATCCATATCGTATCTAATATTCGTCCGATCTTATTTGATAGCCTGTAATATTTCATAGTGATATTAATGACAAGTCATCACCACTCCTTGTACATAATACAAATGAAAACATAAACTACTATGGGGGCCAGAAGTCAAGGCAGTGCGATGTTTTTTGAAAAACTCTTGATAGGAACAAGATAGAGACCTGCGATTTTCAGTGTTCGACAGTGAACAGAGGAGAGCATTCAGACATCTCGATTTCCATTAGCCTTGAATTTGACCGATCATGTGAATTTCTCAATACAAGATTTCAGGACGAGATTCGAAAGAAAATTTCCATCAAATTTTGACTTATAAAACGACTATTTTACACAAAAAACATTCTCTTTCTATCTACGCAAGGTCCACATTCCTAACATTTTTCTTTCAGAAAATTTTGGGGTTTTACTCAAACTCCGGGTTTTGACCAGTTGACCTCTGATCAATGAGAAACATGTCTTGAAAGAAATAATTTACCATGCCAAGCCCACTAGTGATATTTGTTCATCGTTTCACAGCAATGCGACATATTTGTAGAGTGGTTTTAGAAACTTCATATTTTCTCACTATAGGATAAAAAAAACTAATGTTTTGAAAATCCAGTAGCTAGATATTGGATCGCTGTGAAACGAAGAACAAATAGCACTAGTGGGCTTGGCATGACAAATTACTCGTTTCGAGACATGTTTCTCATTGATTAGAGGTCAACTGGTCAAAACCTGGAGTTTCTGAAAAACTCCAATATTTCCTGAAATGAAAATGCTAGGAATGTAGACCTTGCGTAGATAGAAAGAGAATGACTTTTTGTATAGGATAGTCGTTTTACAAGTCAAAATATTATAGAAATTTTCTTTCGAATCTCGTCCTGAAATCTTGTATTGAGAAATTCACATGATTGGTCAAATTCAAGACTATTGGAAATCGAGAATGTCTGGATGCTCTCCTCTTTGTACTGTGGAACGCTGAAAACTACAGGTCTCTATCTTGTTCCTATCAAGAGTTATTCAAAAAACATCCCACTGCCTTGACTTCTGGCGCCGATAGTACTTAAATGTCATTTTTTGTCAAAATTACACTGAAATATATTTTATCTATGCATCAAATAATGATCAATTGCTAATCCCTCATCGATAATGATTCTCTTACATTCGGTACTTTCAAGTATAATTAGGCATCAATGTTCAAAATATTCAAGTAAAAATACTCAATCTTGGAGCGCATTTGTTCTATACAAAGTTCGTAGTAGATGAGCGTGTGGTCAATGAACTAATCCTTCTTGCATATGCAGGTTGTATATCTTGTCGATAACACTCAAAAAGTTAATCTATATTGTTAGTTGCACTGTTTATATGCAATATGATATACATTTTTTTTTGCATAAAAAAACTTGAACATATAAGAAAACATTCAGTGAATAACAAATATTGTAGAATTTTCTTACCACTGTAGTTTTCAAGTGCGAGTGAGCATGTTGCAACGAAAATGGCTCTCACTTTTCGCTTTACACACGCACACTTACTATTTTTGCACTCAATAACAATGCAAAAAATCCACATTTTCTGCCAGTTGACAGAATAAACTGATAGAAAATGCTGCACTCGAATAACTCCCAAAAGTCATTCAATATCTAACATTTTCGATATTTTTTTTTCGATGTTTTATCTTTGATCTTTTGCAACTTTATCCTTTCACATTTGTATAGATGGTTAGGATGTAACGTATTTTACATGATTTTTTTAAATTTAAAACTCACATAAACTTTATTTATAATAATTCTTTTATACACTCTTGCAATACTGTCATGAGGAAATATGGTATTAGGACAAAGAAGACTCATTTTCTAAAATGTTTAATGTAAAATTAGTGAAATTTTATTCCTCAATCTGATTCAATTAACTTCTATAATAAAACATAAAAGAACATTATGATTGACATGTCAAGTAACTACTGATGGATGATTATATTAGCATCCAATCCAATATTAAATACTCAATACAGTTTGATGCATCGCATGCATTTTCTAATGTATATTAACCATCATGACATGATTGCAGAAGTTTTTCTTAATCAAACTGTTTTATCCGCTTATCTTATTCTACGAAGCAAAATATATTTTAATTTTTAATAACTCCACCAATATTTTATTTAATCAAATAGAAAAAGAAGTATTTAAAATTTCTATATTCCACATACCCAAAAAAGCAATTATTTTCTTTATTAATATCACGCAAGGCACCACAAAAAAGAAAAAGAATAAAATAGTCATTGATTGAACAATAAAAAGAAATGCAATTTTTTGCTTGTTTATATTCACAAAGTAGCATAATCTTCTTTGCGACAATAGAGAAGAACTGCAAAAATAAAAGCAAGTATTTCAATAACACCAACAATAACACAGCCAATAATAGCATTCTTTTTATATGCAAGTAATGTATCAACCAAACGGTCATAACACCCTTGTGAATAAGCATTTACACCCGTTGTTGCGCATGCATTTGCTTCAGATAGATTTGTTGGTAATTGAGTCCAACTTTTAGCTGCACCCAATGGACAACATGTAAAAGGAACAACCAAATTTGAAGTTTCTTGATATGGATTTTTTCTATCCCAATTTGCAGCACGTGAAAAATCATTTAAACTAACAGCACCACAACATTGTAAATTAAATTGAGCGAAATCCCATGACAGTGAAACTGGATTAGCTGATGTTGAGTTATCAGTGGGTGTACCAACATAAAATCTGGCAATTGAATCCTGAAGTTTAGGAACAAGTTCTGTTCGAAATCGATTTTGATAGACAATAAAAATGACAAGAATTACGATTTCAACAACAACTACTATACCAATAACAATTGCATAAAGAATATGTAAAAATCGAAAACCTTTTATTGCTCCGCAACAACCTGAAAAAAAAGAACAACCGAAATAGAAAACAAATTATTAATATACGTATATATATAAATTTAAACTATTCTTTTTTTACCAAGAAATCCGATTGTTAATAAAATACCACCAATAACAATAATTGCAATAGCAAATACTTCAAAATTTGATAAACTTTGAGAATATGATGATACGATTTCAGGGTTAAATAATGGACCAAGTTGTTGCATTTTAGGATCTTTAAAAACATAAACACCAATGGCAAGTACTACAGTTCCAACGACAATAAATACCAAATTAAAAAGAACAATAAGAAGTCGAATAAGCTTCATGCTCAATGACATGCTACCATGACCATGTCCCGATGCCATTTTTTACGCGTTAACTGCGTATAAAATCGACAGTAGATAACGTTCTAAATAGAAATAAAAAGTGATTATAGACACACACGCATAACACACAGTTATATACAAGTGTCTCTGTTCTTTGTCTATGGGTTAAAAATATATATTAACGTCTGTTAGATCGAATGAAGATGATTTGATGAGCTGAAATGAATGAGAACATTATATAGTTTTTTTCTTTCTGTCTCTCTCTCTCTCTCTCTCTGTTTCTTTTCAAAAACTTGTTATCATCATAGTCAATTACATTAAATGTGCTTATATACAATGGCCAATATGTTGACACCGGATACCATTAAGTTTTTGTCTCTTACTGCATGATTTTCATTCTTTTTTTTGCTGTGCTGTTTTAATATATGCGCAATTGTAACAATCTGATGCCATATAGATCTAATAGAGCGTGGGTTAGAACATTTTTTAACGAGCGCAAAAAAAAAACAGAACAAAGTGAATATGTAGGTTTATGTTTCTTCTAAACAGTGATTATTAATAAATGTGAACTTCTATGACATTTTAGAGTGTGTGTAAAATGAAATGTTAATTATACAACAGTTTGTTTGCGAATGTGACTATAAAATGAAGAAAAAATATCACTCGCTTCTTCGTTGAAGTGAGCTTATTACCAATTTTGTTAATCCTGTTACATCAGATACTATTTGATTATTTTTCACTTGATCTCAACAAAATCGATATATAATAATATACTAGTTATTACTTCTATTTTATATCAATATAAATAAACTAATAAAAAATAAACTGATCGGTTCATTGTTTTTATCATGACAAAATCGGGTAGACATATTAAATTAGTTTTTATTGCATTAATGAATATTCATTTTTCAAAAAAATGTTCGAATTTCAATATTGAGATGTAACATAACATTTTGAGAATGACATTGATTAATTCTCAAGAAGTATATAATTAATCTAGAATACATTGACAAAAGGGTACAGATAATCGCCATTGATTTATTTTTAACAAGGAGAATATGTTTTAATACTAATCATTATATAAAGGACATTCATTATTATAATAGTGCAAGACTCAAAATCAAAAAGAAATACAAAGTTCCTTAGTAATCCAACGATCCTAACGAAATTCAACGATAATTTTCCATTTCATTCATATATTCGTTGTTTTTTCTATCCCAACTATATGAAGATTTTGTCTTAGTAATAACAATAATTTTCGATCTACTATTTTAGTATTCTATTCGATGCTATATATTTAACATTTCTCTATCTATTGAAGGTCATGATTCATATCAAAACTTTTAACTTTTGTTTTTTTTTTTCGTTTGCATAAACTATTCTAATAATAATTCATGTTTACTAAAATATTAGCAATAAATTGACTATGAATAATAATCACTTAGAATATCAAGAGTGTTTGCTTGTCTCGACAGCTTGTTTTCAAAAAAAAAAACATAACAACAACAGTAATACAATGTTTTCTAGCACTCATATTTTCAAAGCATAGAGAAAAAAAGAAGTTAGCAAAAGACAAAGTGTTTCATTAGTTCAAATCAACTTGAGAATTGTCAATAATCGATCATTTATATTTTCATCACCATAATACAATACAATAGTTGGATGATTTGGTGTTTCTAATTTTGTTATGATTGCTTCATAATGATCTTTATCTTTAAAAATAAGAAGTGCATATTGAGAAAAGCAATAAGCTATTAGTAGTATTATTTTTAACTTACATAAAAGTTCAAAACATTCAGTATGAATTACATCAGGCATTGAACTCATTGCTATTGTTGTTGGCAAACCAGAAAGTGAACATTCGATACAACATGGTGGAGATGTTCGAAATCTAAAATAAATTATAGAAAAAAAATAATAAATACAGAGATAAAAAACTTACTTATCTGGTAAACAACGAAGATCTATAATCGAACAAAAAAAAACGAAAAACAGTAATCATATTGTGTTAAAATCAGATTTTCTTACCATTTGGTGAACATAAAATAATTACACCTGAATCAATACATAAGACATTAAAATTTGTTCCAACTGCATTTAAACATCGACCACGAAACCATTTTTTTTCATGATATATAGCAACTAAATCTTGTTCTTTAGGTCTATGAGATATAATAATTAAGATTACGAAACGAATTTCAATAAAAATAACATACTCAAAAACATTAGTTGATGCTTGAATAAGTTCATCACAAGTATTCATCTCTTGAAATAATTTTGTTGCACGATTATAATCATCACCAAACATAATATAAACATGTGAATATGATTCAACATGACAAATAAAAACATTTGATAAATGTTGACCAACATATAAATTTGTCGTACGTGAAGATAATACTGTATCACGTACTGAAGGTAATCTATTAGATATTCTTATTGGTTTTGATGTAAGAGAAGCTTTCGAACATTTAACATTATTTATTTGTTTGCTATATTTTTTATCAATAGCAGTTTGTTCAGCATCTATTTAAAGAAAAAAGCAAAATTCAATTATTTAAGAAAATGCTTAAGCTTTTTTAGTTTTGGCTACCTGTCAACAAAAAATTACCAACAAATTGCTCATCATGTATTTCACCGACACCTAACTTTGGTTTCCATGATCGTTTAATTGGTGTTGATGATGGACTTGGCTTTTTTTCATATTCAACAGTATCTTCTGTCAATGTTGATGAAGAGGAATTCGGAGCAGTAAAACGATGTTGTTTATCGATAACATCATCCGAAATACGTACTTCTATATTCGACCAATTAAGTCTACCACGACGGGAACCCATATTAGATAATAAATATATATTTAATCTAATCGATTGATTTCTATCAATTGCCAATACATATAAATAACTGATGATGATAAATATACGAAAGAAATAAAGTAATGCAAACAACTATAATGGGTATTTGTTATAATCAACTGTAAAAGCTAAGCACGTGATAAATATTCTTCTTTCTTTTCTTTGAAATATTCTTATCAATAGCCTTTGAAATATATAAATTGAATTATTAAAAAAATAAAACAAAAAATCTATCACATTGTATTAAACTTTTTTTTTTCTTAGTTTCTCTTTTTTTTTTATTCCCATTCGTATATGAACAAGTCTAATAAAGAAACAATGTAGACATTTTTGATTGCATTGAGCATATGATATCGAAAAGAATTCGATATCATATCAATGGTATAGAGCGACATCTAATTTAACAATTCCAAAATGTGTTTTTCGTTGATTTCTTATAGCATTAGATTTCTTGCAGACAATTAGCATGTGTTGATTTGCTTCTATCGTATGGTATTTCTTTATCATAGGATTTTTTCACCAGGTGTTAGTTTTTTACTTTTTCAGGGCTTAAAACACAAACATGATAAGAAAAAGAAAAACATGCCTGGTTTCTATTGACTCAAAAGTAAAACGATTCATATAAAAGAAAGCAAAAAAAAAACAATCAACGCACACATCTACTATCAACAAAAATACATTTTGTCCTTTCGAAAAGCATATAATATAAGGTGTATAGCAATGGCAAATGGACGTGTAAGAGTCGGAGCATTACAAATATCAAAAGTTCTTTTCAACTTTGTCAATCAAGAAGTTGTACCCGGCATAAATATAAATCCTTCTTCATTTTGGACTGGTGTTCATCCAATTATTTCGGAATTTGCACCTATTAATAGATCTCTTCTAAAAAAAAGAGATGATCTACAAGCTAGAATCGATGAATGGCATCGTACACGTAAAGGAAAACATAATGATATTGCTGCTCATAAAGCATTTTTATATGAAATTGGTTATTTATGTCCACAAAATACTGCTGATAATTTTCAAATTAATACAAGTAATGTAGATGATGAAATTGCTGTTCAAGCCGGTCCACAATTAGTTGTTCCATTAATGAATGCACGATTTACGTTGAATGCAACAAATGCTCGATGGGGTTCACTATATGATGCTTTATATGGTACAGATGCTATTTCGGAAGATGATGGTTGTGAAAAAACAGAAAAATACAATAAAAAACGAGGTGATAAAGTAATTGCATTTACACGTAAATTTCTTGATCAATATGTTCCATTGGCAAATGGTTTATCACATACTAATGCTAAGAAATATAGTGTAGAAGCTGGACAATTGAAAGTAAGAAAATATTTTATTTTTGATATTTTCGTTTTATGAAACCATAGATTGGAAATAACATTTTTATTTTATTAATATATTTTATTATTAAATAGGTTACTTTACAAGATAATACCATGGTTGGATTAAAATCTCCTGCTCAATTTGTTGGTTATCAAGGTGATGCTAATACGCCTAAATCTATTCTTTTTATACATCATGGTCTTCATATTGAAATTCAAATTGATCGACCTAATAGTCGAAATGATGCTGCTGGAATTAAAGATGTATTTCTTGAATCAGCCGTGACAACTATTGTTGATTGTGAAGATTCAATAGCTGCAGTTGATGCAGATGATAAAGTAGAATTATATCGAAATTGGCTTGGATTAATGAAAGGTAATTTAGAAGCTGAATTTCCGAAAGGCCAAACAACAATAACACGAAAACTTAATCAAGATCGTATTTATATGTCAAAAACTGGTACCAAATTACAATTGCCTGGTCGATCTCTTCTTTTTATTCGTCATGTTGGCCATTTATTATATACTGATGCTATATTAGATAAAGATAATCGTGAAATTCCTGAAGGTATTCTTGATGTTGTTATTACAACATTAATTGCTTTACATGATCTCAAGGGTACATCAATAAATGGTATCAAAAATAGTCGTACTGGTTCAATTTATGTTGTTAAACCAAAACAACATGGCCCAGAAGAAGTTGCTTTTACTTCACGTCTATTTTCTCGTGTTGAAGATCTTCTTCAACTACCACGCAATACACTTAAAATGGGTATTATGGATGAAGAACGTCGTACAACACTTAATCTTAGTGCATGTATTCGTGAAGCAAAAGATCGACTTGTTTTCATTAATACAGGATTTCTTGATAGAACTGGTGATGATATTCATACATCAATGGAAGCTGGTCCTCTTATACGTAAAGGTCAAATGAAAGAAGCTAAATGGTTAGCTGCATATGAAAAGAATAATGTAGATGTTGGTTTAAGACATGGTCTACCAGGAAAAGCTCAAATTGGTAAAGGAATGTGGGCTATGCCTGATATGATGGCAGCAATGATACAACAAAAAATTGTTCATCCACAAGCTGGAGCAACTTGTGCTTGGGTTCCATCGCCAACTGCAGCCACTCTACATGCTTTACATTATCATCAAGTCGATGTTTTTGCTCGTCAAAATGAATTATCTTCTACATCGTCTCTATCGAACGATTATCTTGATGATTTATTAACAATTCCAATTCTTACTAAGACTCTTTCATCTGAAGAAATTCAACGTGAATTAGATAATAATGCACAAAGTATACTAGGTTATGTTGTTCGTTGGATTGATCAAGGTATTGGTTGTTCAAAAGTGCCTGATATAAACAATATTGGATTAATGGAAGATCGAGCGACATTACGTATTTCGAGTCAATTAATTGCAAATTGGTTACGACATAAAATTGTTACGAAACAACAAATTATACAAACTTTTCAACGAATGGCTCGAGTTGTTGATCAACAAAATGCAGATAGTTCCGATTATCTACCAATGGCTGCTAATTTTGATCAGAATATAGCTTTTCAAGCTGCACTCGAACTTGTACTTGATGGAGCTATACAACCAAATGGTTATACGGAACCTATTCTACATCGTCGACGACGCGAATTCAAAGCTCGGCAACAGCAACAACGAGAAGGATCGCAACAGAAGCCGGAATTGCCACTTCGCAGTTCTCTCTAATACTCTTCGCCACAAAGTTTTCGCTTTTTTATCAACTAATAAATTGATTGTATAACATCTTAAAAATTTTTTAAATTGGATTTTTTTAAAATAAAAACAAAAATAAAAATAACTATATTGTGACTTGTAGTGCATTGCATGACTGTTTTACTTCGTGCGTTACGAACTTTTCTGATACATAAAATATACAAATTAATGATATTTTGTTTGTGAAAGGTTTAATTTTGATTCTATCTTAAAGAATAATAATAGAAAGTGTATTTTTTTAAAATGATTTCACTATTAACTGAATGTATGGTTTCTGTCTGAAGAGCACAATAAATGATAACAGATCGAACTATTATTAATCATTAGGAAAGATCATTAGTTAATCTTGATGTTATAGATCGAATGTTTCTTGAGTTAACAATTCGATTTTCATTTTCTTTGATCTTATTTATAAAAAACAAACTATTAAAAGATGTTTATTGGTGAAAATAATAGTATCAGTATTTGTTTCTTACATAAGTTTTGACAGAATCGGAAAATACTTATTATGCTTTTTTTATTTAGTTTTCAGATGATGCATAAAATACGTTTCGTAAATTTTTAGCCAAGAAATATGTGAGGCGATTGTACGGGAAAAACTATCATGATGATAAAGATAAATATATTACATGTTTGAGTTTCTTCATCTGTAGGATTTAAATACTGAATTAATTTATATTAATCGAAATATTATTTACCTGAAAAATACTACTAAGGACAAACATTTTTATTGTTACGAAATTCAATTTCTGTTTCCCTGAAATTACAATCTTTAGTTTTCTTTAAATGTATGATGAATAGAAGTAAACGATATAATATTGACAAATGTTGCAATACCATATTTGTTTTATATATATACTAAAAATAATATGAATATCCATTTTATCTAAATTTATTTAAATGTATAGAAAAACATATGGAAATTACAAGTATTGTCACTTGTTCTCATCATCACAGTGAACATGAATTAAGGGGGACCTCCCCCCCCCCCCTAAAAAAAAACATTTTTTCAAAGAAAAACCGAAATTGAGTTTTTTGCATGGGAAGATGCGTTGAGGTGTCCTTTTTTATGNACCATCGAAAGGCAAAAACCTGAACTCGATAGCTATTAATATTGGTGATTTATTATGAAAATACTGATGCCTGTATCTATCATATATCTCTTATAGATTCGTGATGTTGCTTACGATCGTAATCCCGCTAAATACAAACACAAATCCATTCAAAAATAACTCTTCTTACCCAGTTTTCCAAGCTGAACACGAATCTGAACTCAATTTCTGTGATTTCTAACGATATTATATCATTCTGAGAATAGAGTCAGTGGTCACCGGATAGGATCGCATACAGTGTGGTCCATGCTAACTTAGCACGCCTGTATTTTCTCCTTGCAATTTAGTGATAAAAAACAAAGTGAATATACCTTTTCACTTTTTGAAGTACACATAACACTCGGATTTAAATTCGAGATTTTCGCATTTATTTTTTCTTATTTTTGAATTAATTGCATGTTATTGATTATTGTTAAGCATGTTTCCTCTTATATTTTTATTTTTTATAAATGAAAAATTTTATTTTAGACTTCATGATGAATTAAATAAAAAAATTTGACAATAAATATAGATGACTATAATAGAATTGATTATTTCGATGATGATGATCTCGACCAATTGAAAAAAAACTTTTGTTGTCATGATAATATAACAGCAAATTAATTTATTTTTTCTTTTATATTCAACTACTATCAATACCAGATGAAAATGATAATGATATTGATAATCTGTCTATACTTTTAGATCTTGAAAATGAGATAGAATGAAATTCTCAACCTTCTTTTTCTCAATATTCATTGTTATTTATTTAACTCACATTGTTATATCATTTTGTTTAATAAGAAAAAATAATTTGAGTATGTCTTTATTGTTTAACAAGACGAGGATTTTTTCTTTTCTTACAATGTCAATCTTTATTACAATAATAAAAATTTCATAACGAATAAAGCACATCAATGATTTCTGAATGTCTCATTTGCAGTGTTTTATCCAGAGGGGTGCCCCCTCGAAAATCGAGTTCGCCCCCCGAGACGAACTATATGGCTTACCCTCCCGAAAAAATTTTTCGCCCTCCCGGAATTTAAAATCGCCCCTCCGGAGAAAAAAACCTGGATAAAACACTGCTCATTTGAAAACCAATTCATCTGTAAAAAGAAAAACAAACCCATAACATATTTTAATAAAACACATATCCAGTTGGCCAAAAGTTATGTGACAATTCTAATTTCATAGCTATCTCGACCTGAGAAAAACGTCATGTGTAATAGGAACGAAAAAGAAAAAAGATGTATAAGGTACAGGAATGAAAAGGAGAGAGATATGCACTTGAACATATCAGAATCAAGCAGAGAAAATATGTGCATGTCATCGATGCGTATTAACAAAACGCAAAAGAAGAAAGAGATGTACACATATATGGTGCTCACGATGACACTATGATGATAATAACATCAAAGATAGAGAAAGAGCACTCTTATGACTTGACAAAGGAATGTCATAACAAAGAGTTCAAAATAGCCCTACTTTTTCTCTATTCTTTCTGACTTTCCTCTCTCATTTCGATGACTGTAATCAAGAAGAATATACGTGACATAGATACTTCTTCATTTTCTTTACATACCACGCGTATCAAAGAAAAAACAAGGTAAATATGTAATGCTCATTCATTGAAGGAAGTAAATATTACAAAAAGAAACTTTGTACGATGTGGTTCACCGTGATTTCTCCTGCTGAATAGACAAGCCCTATAACTTAGGAAAAGAGAGTGATAGAAGTATGAAATTATCAGGGTATATAGAGGACCTTTAAGACTACGATGAAAAAGAATTTCAGCTCTCTATGAGTATCTTGGATGTAGTTTTGAATTTTTCTTTTTATGCTTGTTTTCGTTGGGAAAATTAGAAAACTGGTTATAACTTTTAAAGAAAAAACCGTCGGCCGAAATCCTTTTAGGTTTTTTACCTACTCGAAGTCCCCTATCGAATGATGTATGAACGAATGAAATCGGAGCGAGGCACCTAAAAATGTTCCCTCGTAAGCGTTTCCTATGAGAGTATCTCAAAAACTTTTGAAAATCTTTCGTAAAAGAACAAAACTTCAAATATCCCTGATCCGTTATTTATTACTAGTCATGTAGAGTACATGTTTTTCAAAAGGGAGCATGCATTATCAAATGATTTATAGACCTTTACCAGCATTGGTAACCCTAAAGAATCTCGTCCGCTCTTAAAAAGTGAAGAGATCATTATGGCTGAAAAAAGGAACGATCCCGGCAAAGCTCGTAAAGAATTTGGCCAGTATTGACAATAATCATTTCATGCTTTTTCTTTTAAACAGTCACATAATTGAACTAGACACAGCCATTTGGGCGTTATAAAAAGAGTAAAATGCATTGAAATGGTTATGCATTTACTCTTTGGTATCAGCGTTAGTCGTACAAGTCAAGAACGGTTCATGTAAACAGGTTCTTGCTTTAGAATGTTACCCTTAATTAAAACGAAGATGAATAGTGGCAGTATACAAAAAGTTTATGTTCATCAGAAAGCTCTATTTGCTATGCAGGAAACAATATATAAACTCACATCATTTTTTTTTCTTTTCGCCTTTATTTTATCGAGTTAAATAAAACAGACGATGAAATTATGTCAACTGTAACAAAAAGCATATCAACTACTTTGTCAGATTCCATAGCTGATAGTATATGCTTAAAGCTTGATGGACGGTTATTTGTGAAATAACAATGACTGATAAGCCAATGTCATTATTTTTCCATATTTTCCAGTCTCGTGTTTTTCACCATTGAATATTCCATTGTTACATTGTTTATGCCGTTTATTAGTTAATAATACGATAGCCATTGCATATTTTGGATCAATAACAGAGCACGTTTCTGTCCACCCTGTATAACCATATGCGTCATTCAAGTTATGAAAACAGAACCACGGTAACGATTTATTACAATTGAGGTGCCATCCTAACCAGAATGATGAATCACGTGCATGAAGTGTTAGAGATAGATCTTGGACACTTTAACTCCAGCATTGAATATTTCCATAAGTGCCATTATTTAACATAATTAGAGGATGTGAATCTGGATCTGGATGTTGGTTGGGTGTATTTGTTTTATTTATCCTCATACCCACACCCACACTCAACTTGATGCTTTTGTTAGTACTAAAAAAATAATTGAAGACCTTGGCATTAGTTTTGAATTATTATGAATATTAAGATATCATTATTTAATATTAGTACTCATGAAAAATGTATTAAATAATATTATTTCAATGCTAATTTAAATTCAATGTTAATACCAAAATAATTAAACTATTTTTTAACGCTAATATTAACGTATCAACATATTTTCTTGATAATGGCACAAAAGTGTTAGCATTGTTCTAACATTACTGCTAAGCCAGTATTCCCTGCTGAAATACGTTTGCGCACATTATAAATAGTGCAGATTGTTATATTTTTATACAGATAAATATTTGTATTCAAGATTTCAACGATGATTGGTACTGGTGTATTAATGTCTCTTGGTTACCATTTGATCAACATACAGAACATGACTCGAGCAAATTATAACTTTGAAAAATAATTATAATGAGTGTTTATGAGTTGATCGGGATATATAATAGTGCGTTAAGACCTGTTGATGGAGATATAATGGGGATATGTTGCAGAAAAATCAAAATTTAGGAAAATTTAAAATTTATCTCATGCAAAACCACGTGAAACCATCAGATTAAAAATGGATTGAAATGGTACTAACGGGTGGTGCAAAAGTTTTGCATTAATTTTGTTTTTGATATAATTTCTCCATGCAATGTCGTAGAGACTTGATGTTTTTTTTTGTTAGAAAGAGCAAAGTGCCTAGTGCAAAAATATATAATAGAATTTAATTGAAAATGTTTTTCGAAG